GAAAATTTTCAATTCAATCCATGGTGATGGTGGGGCATGGGAGGGTGGATATGGAGCCATGAGGATGGGGATGATGGGCTTGTGGAGCCTGATACAGGTTTGCACATGGGCTGCAGAATAGGTTAATGTACCAGCAATTAGCGTTAGGCTCTTAGTTCAACTGGGCACTTCAGTAGCTGCTATTTATCTGGTTCCTGAAGATTTTTATCCTACACTTTGAGAAGTTTGAGTTGGATGATTCTGTTTTGCAGCTTGTCAATTATGATTCATACAAGTTTATTTTGTACCAGACATTTGGTATTAAAGATTTTATTAGAAGACCAACAACCTACTTCCAGAGACAGAGCAAGACTGCTTGCCAATACCCACCTCTACTCTTAACTTGTGGAGGGAAGGGGCCTCCAGTCTTTTAGATCTTATATCCCACCTGGGTTGACCTGGGGTCCTAAAAGACCCTGTGTCCAACTATTAGCATTTGAGAATAGGGTCAAAATTGACTCCTACTGCCTACTTGGATTCAGACCACACATTGACAACAGAAAGTGTAGAAAGATATCTTGATAAAATCAAGACAAGACTGATCCGTGACTATTTCTTCACTGATATGAAAGAGCTAGAGAATTTATTCAATCTGGCAATGGGGAAAATCACTCATGCCGAGGAGAGGCAACCTATACATCCTCATTTGTGGCAATTGAAGGAAATTTGCACACAGAAATCTCCACAGTAGCAATGGAGTGAGTGACTAATTTATCTGGAGGATTGTAAGAAAGGAAACAGAAAAACTCCTTCCTTTTTTTTTGAATAGCATTACAGGACTTTTGATGTTTACCTGAAAAGGGAGATGGGACCTTTTTTAATGTCTCATCCAAAGGATAGCCTCTGACAATGCAGCACACCCCAGTACTGGAGTGCGATACATAAATGAAAGGCAGAACATTTTTGGATCGACAGAATCTTTGTCAGTCACATTTATAAACATACATTCTACAGTTTATTGCTTAACATACTAGAAAAGTTTAAATTTACATGTTGATGTCAAAGATTGAGATTAATTTGGATAGAATCTAAAATTGATGAGTATGCAGACAACTGTTTACTGCAATAAAATCAAAGGGCAACTATCGAACACTAAAACAAGAGCTTGCGGACAAAGATGATTAATGGGCATTTTAAATGCCAGCATTTAATTATGTAAAAGACATGCTCATTATGGATTTGAAATTATGTAGGTTTGGAAACATATTAAAACAAATGAGACTGCTATCATTTATCAGCTTCGTTAGTATTAAATAAAATGTTGAAACCCTGTCAGTTTGAGATCATGAAGGATATTTATGTGAAAAAGCAATCTGTAGTTCTAAGAATAAAACCATTTTTGCTGAAGCCTAAAACCGAGCAAGGAATCAGTGGCAAGTCAAGCTGGCTGGAACCTAAAGAGTTCGCTTTTTAAAAAAATCTGGTTTCATCATTAGAGACCAGATATACATTTTTATGTAAACAAACACTATAACTTTGTTGTTATTTTCTTAGCTCTTTGCCCCGACTCACACCCGGAATGACTTTCTACAGTATAAAATTACACAAGTCTTATTCTAAAATAAAATTTGAGTTTAAGACACGAGAATAATCTTTTGACTAAAATGTCATCTCTCCCATTGATAATACATACTAAATTAACTTATTCTTTTCTTTATAGGATTCGTGAATCTTAACTATGTGTTTACATAGGAATTTAAGATCTGAAGGTGGTCATTTGGCCCAGTGATGTCTTTCAACCATAGACATGGCATTGTGATTAACCACTCCCTTCCCCATATCCCACTTTTTTGCCTAAAACATATTTCAGAGCGAATTTTATATAAAGGTATACAAGATTTTAGATGGGATTAGGAAGTAAATCCAGAAAAATGCTTTCAGATACACCAAGGTGGCAGAACAAAAGGGAACAGGTTAAGGTTGCAAAGAACAATTTTGGGACAGATGCCAGAAATATTTTACACAAACAGTAATAAACAACTAAATCAGGTTACAAGGAAGAAGGTTTGAGACCAAGATGTTGGACTTGTTTAAGAAACAGCTCAATTCAGCAATGGAAGGACAGTAGGGTGGATATTCTGGAAAACTGAGATTAAGTAGACCGAAGGACCTTCTTCATTCAAACTCAAACCTCTCTCATTATCTCTTATAATATTCATAACCTTCCAAATACCTATGCGTCTCCTTGAATTGCTCAATCGACCATTGCTTTTCTAGGGCTGTGTTTTCCAAATCTCAGCGCTCTGCAAGAACTTCATCCTTGCCTCAATACTAGCCTGTTTTACCTCAATTTTAAGGTTTTGCCCCAACGATTTATTGGCCCATCAGGGGAAAACATTGCTGTGTTTAATTTGTCAATTCCCTTCATAATCTTGAATACAATTAAATCCCCTTCATCCTCAGCTCTGGAGAATACATCTCTAACCTTCAAATCATAGTTCACCGTCCCCTCCCCAATCCCTGGTATCATCCTTATGAATCTATGATGCATTCTTTCTCAAGCCAGTAAATCCTTTGTGTTGAAACATCCAAAAACAAATACAATACTTTACTTCAAGTATTGTGGTCTCACTTGTACTTTCCTGCTTTTTTATTCTATACATATTGCTCTGAAACCAGTATTCCATTAGCTTTCTTAATAACTTTCTATATTGTAAGCAAGCTTTTTGTGATTTATTTTCAGCACACTTGAGTTCATCAACTTTTGTTAAGACGTTTTCCCATTTGACACACATTTTTAATATCAAAATACATTAGCTCACATTTGGCTACATCGAATTGCAACTACCATTCTTCTACCCAAATCACCATGAACCACAGAAGGTTGGAGGATTTGTTTGGTCAGCTGGTTGTCTGACACATGTGGAAACCCACCATCAATCTTAAGAGTATCCAAAGTGAACAGTGTTCCATGCATCCCACCAAAACATAGAAATTCCAGAGATGTTTATTCGAATGGAATGAGTACTCTCTCCCTGGTGGGACGCATCCTATTTACCTAATTCCAGAAAGTATTAGACCCAGTTTGGCAAGAGCCAAGGCTTGGAGATCTTAGTTTGCACTTTGGGATCCTCCTGGAGTCTAATCAGCTAAAACCGCATGGTTTGCCATTCAGGGCACTACCTGGCAAACTTTCCTGCTGCTTGTCCAGTTAGGACTACCCTACCCGGCTTGCCGGATTAATGGGTGGGAAGTGTCCCTGCCCCCAGTGACTGATCTACCCATCTTGAACACTGGGCCAACCAATGGAACATGGAGGCAGGTGCCCAGAAGTGCTGAATCAGGGGAAAATATCGCTGTGTTTAATTTGACAATTCCCTTCATAATCTTGAATACAATTAAATCCCCTTCATCCTCAGCTCTGGAGAATCCATCCCTAACCTTCAAATCATAGTTCGGCCCAAGGGAAGAAATCAAGGGAATGGATTGGAATGTACAAGGGGCATCAGTCCCAATTCTTATCGGTACTTCGGGGTCATAGAGGACAACAACTTCAGCCTGGATACTGTCCTGAAGGACCATGCTGAGAAGGGGTGAAGGGCACTCTGGTCATGCTTCTCCCTCTTCAAAGACAGCAAGGTTCCAATGCAGGTCAAGCTTATGGCATACAAGATCTGTGTGCAAACAATTCTCCTTTATGGAATTTGTGGATGCAGCGGAGAGGCTTCTTCTGGTCCATTTGCAAAGCCCAGGATCAAGCAGTGAGGTGCATTGTGGGCAAACACAGGAAGAAGGTGCAGAGAGGGGGGGCTCCAGCCTACCCTGATCTATCGCTAAGCATCCTGGACGTGGACAACCTATTTCCTAAGGCCCCTTGCGTGGGAACCTGGATTAGCAGCTGGTGCTGAGTTAGCCTGATATTCGGCACTGGACTTGGACCTTGAGAACCTCAACATGGCTAGCACGTCACAAGCCATTATGTAAAGGTTCTCCCACCAGAAGCCTGAAGGCAGATGCCCACCAGATAGCTGAGGATAAAAACTCTCTGAGGTTTGGGGCGATAGCTGCTGGAAAGCATTACCTGGAGTCTGAGTTCATGAACACATGTACTTGGTTTGTATATCCAGCACCTGGACTCCAACTTGATTAGTCTGCAAAGAGGCAGCAATTGCTGCTTAAACTCCTTTCTAGAATTAGGTAAGTAATGAAGAGGAGAGAGTGCGAATTCCACTCCAACAATCTATCTTTAGTATTTCCATGGATAGATGGGATGCATGTAATTCTCAGTTTGGTTTGGATACTCCAAAGCATGGTGATCGGTTTCCGCATATGTTAGAAACCCAGCTGACAAAAAAAAACTCCTCTTCTGCTCTGTTTGGCCTTGACATCATTCCTATAGTGAAGCTCTCAAAACTGGACACAATACTTCAACCATGGTCCATCCAATAAATTTATACAAGTTTAACATTACCCCATTTTTTATATTCTAATCCCCCATTTGTAAAACCTTCCATTAGCTTATTTGCTGACTTTATGCATAATAATGTTAGGTCTCTCTGATCTCCGCTCCTTTTAAAATTTTATGATTTAATGCATATTTCCTCTAATTCTTGCTCCCAATTTGCATTCAATTTCATATGCTATCTACCTGCCCAATCCACTATTCTATGTCCTCCTAAAGTTGCTTACAGCTCTCTCACAGTTGGCCACACTCCCTATTTTTGAGACAAATGCAAATGTTGATATTGTGCTTTTATTCCTAAGTCCAATCATTTATAAAAATAGAGAAATGGTGCCATCACCATGATCCATCACTGACCTCTGGGGCACCATTGTTTACATCACTGACTGAAAAACATTAATTTACCCTTCTCTCCATTTTCTGTCCTTCAGCCAACTTTCTATCTATGCTGTCACATTTTTATTCCTATCAAACGCTGTAAGTTTTTCAACAAGTCTCCTATGCGACTTTTTCAAACGCCTTTTGAAAATCCATGAAAAAGTTACAGAATATTTCTCACCTTAATGCCTTCAATGAATTGTTGGTTATTGATACACAAGATGTTAAGTCCAGATGTCTCAGTTTCGTGCAGAATTTACTAAGGCTAATACAAGTGCTGCAAAAAAAAAAGTGACTTTAAATATCATCCACCTTGCAGGTAAAACAAATCAGTCCAAATTTTATTGGATTCTACTCACCTATCATTAATTTTTGTGCAACCATTGAGATTTAAATGTTCAATATTCTTACAGTTCTGTGCAAAAGTCCTAAAGATAAGAAAAAATATGCACTCAAAATGTTGAACTCAAAAATTCTAAATATCCCAAAAAATCATAGAACATTGCAAAAGTACCTTCCCTAGAAAAATGTTATGCAATAGTACAAAATTAATTCAGATAATTTAATAGAAATTTCTACTTGCTTGACTATTTTCAACTCATCAGTTTCCACTGTTCACTACCAACATTTAGTTCTCCCAGAATATTCCAGGGTTTTAATAGCCAGTTGGTCCTTTAAGTGCTCTAAGACGCTACACTGTGCAAAAGGCACTATATGAACACAAGTTGTTGCTGATTTAACATCTTATTGAAAGGACAGCACTTCCGACAACATAGTGCTCTTTCTGGTACCAACACCAGCTTGTATATGGAACTTATGTAAAATTCAGCACATGCTTCACGGAAAATAATTAAACCTAAAAATTGTGTTATGTTCCTCCAACATAAACATTTATCAGTAATTCAATCACAATGGTAACTGTGGCATGTTATACTGTATGGCTGGAAGGAGGCCGAAATAGAAAAGAAAAATCAATGCTTTGTGGATGTATCTTATTCTCCCTGTCTGTTTTTTGTATTTAGAGGGAACAAATATACATTACAAAATTACATTTGTAAAGCGCCTTTCTCATCAGGAAGATGTCCCAAGGCGCTGAACAGTCAGGGAATAGGACCCTAGCTGAGCGGGGGGGGGGGGGGGGGGGGGGGGGGGGCGGAGTTGGGATCATGGAGGTCAAGGAACGTAGGAGGGTGCCCGAAGGCACAGTCGAAGAGGAGGATCTTGAGGAGTGCCTTGAAGGAGGCAAGGGAGGGAGCAAGGCAAAGGGAATGTGGGATGGAGTTCCAGAAGATGAGGGCAGAGAGACTGAAGGACCGAACGCCGATGGTGGGACAGGCCGGGCTGGGCAGGGGACATGGAGCAGGCCGGAGCCTGCTGAGCGGAGAGAGTGGACAGGTTGATAAGGGTCAGAGAGGTAGGATGGGGCAAGCCCGTGGAGGGCCTTGAAGGTGAGGACGAGAATTCTTAAACTCGATCCTCTGAGGGATGGAAAGCCAGTGGAGCCAGACGAGGGTGGTTGTGATGGGGTTATGGAGCCTGGGGTGGGAGAGGAAATGATCTGCAGAGTTCTGGATGATCTGCAGCTTGTGGAGGGAAGAGTTTGGAAGGCCGACAAGCAGGGTGTAGGCATCGTCAAGTCTAGATGTAATGAAGTTTCAGCGGCCTGAGGGATGAGGCAGAGGCGGAGTTGGGAAATGTTGTGGAGGTGGGGGAAGGCAGAGAGTGTCATGGTACGGATGCAGGAGAGAAAGGACAGTTGAGCATTGAACAAGCCATTTGATGTGCATCCGTGGATGCCGATGCTGCTAGTGCCTGAGGTGTGGAGGTCCTGATGGGAGCCAATCAGGAGAGCCTTGGTCTTGCTGAAGTTCAACTGTAGAATATTAGCTCTCATCCAGGACTTGATGTCCGACAGACAATCTGTCAGGATAAGCGCATTATAGAGAATGTAGGAGTGATCTTAAAAGAGCGATAAGACAGGCTAAAAGATCGCATGAGAAGAGGTTAGCGGGTAACATAAAGGGGAATCCTAAAATATTTTATAAGCAAATAAAGGAAAAAAGGTTAGTTAAAGGTAGGGTGGGGCCAATCAAAGACAATGATGGCAATCTTGTTGTGGAGGCAGAGGGCATGGCTGATGTACTAAACGAGTACTTTGCATCTGTCTTCACAACGGAAACGGATGCCCCAAATGCCACAGTATTGGATGACAGGGTAGAGGACGTAGATCAGATTACTAAAGACAGAGAGGAAGTTCTGAAAAGATTGCCTGGGCTCAAAATTGATAAGTCACCAGGACCAGATGGGTTTCACCCAAGGTTGCTGTGGGAGATACGGGTTCAAATAGCGGAGGCTTTGGCCATTATATTTCAATCGTCATTGGACACAGGAGTGGTGCCAAGAGACTGGAGAGTAGCTAATGTTACCCCACTCTACAAAAAGGGGCAGAAAGACAAGCCCGGAAATTACAGGCCAGTCAGCCTAACTTCGGTAATAGGAAAGCTACTGGAGACCGTAATCCGGGACAAAATAAATCTCTACTTAGAGGAACACGAGGTAATTAGAGACAGCCAACATGGATTTGTTAAAGGCAAATCTTGCCTAACAAATCTAATAGAATTTTTTGAAGAGGTGACTGCGAGGGTTGATGAGGGAAATGCGGTGGACATTATTTACATGGATTTTAAAAAGGCTTTTGACACAGTACCGCATAAGAGGTTAATAAAAAAACTGGAGGCCCACGGTATTAAGGGGACAGTAGCCGTTTGGATTAGGAACTGGCTGAGTGACAGAATGCAGAGGGTGGTGGTTAATGGGTGTTTCTCGCAATGGAAGGAGGTGTGCAGCGGTGTCCCCCAGGGATCGGTATTGGGACCACTGCTCTTTCTAATATATATTAATGATCTGGACTTGGGCATAGGGAGCACTATTTCCAAGTTTGCAGATGATACCAAGTTAGGTAGGGTAGTAAATAGTGAAGAAGATTGTGACGGACTGCAGGCAGACATACACAGAATGGTGGAATGGGCTGACATGTGGCAGATGGATTTCAATGTAGATAAGTGCGAGGTGATACACTTAGGTAGGAAAAATGATAGGAGGCAATATAGGCTTGGTAGCTCAATCTTAAGGGGGTGAACGTACAGAGAGATCTGGGCGTTCAAGTAAGAGATTCATTGAAGGTGGCAGAGCAGGTAGATAGGGCAGTAAAAAGGGCATTTGGTGTACTGAGCTTCATTAGTAGGGGCATAGAGTATAAGAGTAGGGAGGTTATGCTTAATCTGTACAAAACACTGGTTAGGCCTCAGCTGGAGTACTGCGTCCAGTTCTGGGCACCTTACCTCAGGAAGGATATTAAGGCACTGGAAAGGGTGCAGAGGAGATTCACGAGAATGATACCAGGAATGGGGAAGCTTAGCTATGAGGACAGGCTGGAAAAGTTAGGACTTTTCCCATTAGAGCAGAGAAGGTTACGCGGGGACCTGATAGAGGTCTTCAAGATCATGAAAGGTTTCGACAGGCTAGATAGGGAAAAGCTGTTTCCGCTGGTAGGTGTCTGTGACTCGTGGTCACAGTCTTAAGATATCTACCAAAAGAAGCAGAGGGGAGGTTAGAAGGATTTGTTTCACTCAGCGAGTTGTTAGAATTTGGAATGATCTGCCCGAAAGGGCAGTGAAGTCCGATTCGATAACAGCTTTTAAGAGAGAACTGGATAGGTATCTGGGGAAGACAGGTTTGCAGGGTTATGGGGAGAAAGCTGGTGAATGGGGTTAATAAAAGTCAGTTGCTCTGTCAAAGAGCCGGCACAGACTCGATGGGCTAAATGGTCTCCTTCTGTGCCGTAACATTCTATGATTCTATGATAGCAGTGGTCCTCGAGTCAAGGATGGAGGCAGAGAGGTATAATTGGGTGTCATCCGCGTACATGTGGAAGTTGACCTCATGTCTGTGGATGATGTCACCAAGAGGGAACATATAGTTTTGAAGACAAGCCATTTTTGGAGACAAAATGGAGCTGGTGTGAGAGATAGAATCTGAACCATTCAAGGACAGAACCTTGAAGGTTAAGGTGAGAAGAAAGACTTTCCAAATGTGTCTGGAATTCAATTATTGTTCAAAAAGCGTCGAAACTTTGGAATTTAGTTTGTGTTCTTTATAGTGTCAACTGCTATTCTTCTTCCCCAAAGTCCTTACCAATCACAAATCTTGGGAAGATAAGAACTAAGCACCGAAGAGCCAAAAGACCACACATTTTACAGTTTTACTTCATGATAATGACGACTGTGTTTATAACAGCTCATTTCACAAATTTTTGATTTTATTAACATTACCAGCATTAACAAACAGAATTGGTCTTTAAAATACCAACTTACTTAAGAGAAGCATCACCGATGCTGAGACATCCTCGAAGACTCAGCTGGCGTAGGAAACCTCCACATCGTTTGGAAATGTTTTCCACTACACGACCCTACAATCAGAAAGATTTGCAGAAAATCAATAATAAATAAGTAGGTAAGTATAAATTTAGATCAGAAGAAGACCAATCTGGTTAAAGGAAACAAATGGACTCATGTGCTTCTTTGCAATTCTACAATTATCAATGAATATTACCTTAGTGTAATTAGGTGCATGATAAATATTCAGCCCTTACCTCTATGTCTGTCTGGAAATTAAACAAGTCAATTCTCTGCCAGTTGCTCCCATCAAGTGCCAGGATATTCCATGCCTACATTTTTCCCCAAAACAATGTAAATAATGAAAGTTTAATATTATGGATATTAAAATCATTTTCTTTGGCACTTAAGACTCTGAAACTTAGATTCAGTCTGATAGATCCTGTTCATACCTCAAGTAACACTCAAGTCAAGTCCCTTTGAATGTCACAAATAAAAGTCCAAGTCTCTCAGAAGGACCCCGGAAAGAATGTGCGTAAATACAAAATACTTGTATTTGATGTAGGGCCTTACCACAGTAAACTCAAAGCATTTCACACAATGAACTATTTATGAAGTGTAGTGTCCCTTGTTTCATCAAGGGCACCACTAACACCAGGGTCATTTTCTTTGGGTGCCAAAATAGAATTAGTTGGCAAAACAGTTTTAGATATGTCATTTGCTGAACCTTATTCAAATCAACCAGTAATCTCACTCATGCCAAGAATGCTATTCCAGTACTGAGGGATGATTAAAGTCAGTCCAACTTCTTGTCCAAGAGCTCCAAGATGTGCCCCACATGAAGAGCTCTATATAAATGCACGTTGTTGTTGTCGTCAAATACACAATATACAGGAATTGGTCAGAAAAAAACAATGAAATCTTTCAGCATTTATTATCCCTTCAAATCACTTAATGACGTGGACCCACCCTATCTCTGCAATCTCCTTCGCCCCCATTCCAATGCCCATACCCTTCACTCCGCCAACTCTGGTCCACTGCTTGTTCCTCACCCCCTGTATCTGCCATGAGCAGCTGAGCTTTCAGTTTCCATGCTTCTGCAATGTGGAACTTGCTCTAAGAATCCCTTGCCTTGAATATAGTATTGTAATACTGTACCTTGGAAACCTGTGCACATCGACATAAAGTGATAACATCCAGGTAGGAAAATATTCTGTGGAAAAAATAGTAAAACTGAATATCAGATATAATACATTCAAGGGTAATTTTACCAAAGGTGGCTAGAGATTATGTTAAAGCAACATGGTATAGTATAAAATTTACAGTGCCCAAATAAAACTCACCACATTATAGCATTTTTTTTACAAGCTACAACATAACACTTCAGCAAATAAAAATTGATGTACCCATAACAAGTACAAAAAAGGGAGTGAATACGATTCAAATACTTTAAAAAGATGATATAAATAACATATGTAAGAAGACTATTTACTTGGATTATGACGCCACAGAAAAAGGTCACAAATTCAAAAGATAACAAGTTTCAAGCAAGAAAGACTAGAGGAAATAAAATCGCCATTTCTGAATACTGGATATATGAAATAAGCCCACAGGAAAATTAGCCATACTGTTAATTCTTAAAACATGGACTAATGTCATATTGACTGGAGTAAATTATTGGGCTAAGGTATAACAGGAAAAATGGAGCTCTCCATGGAAACAATATTTCCTGTAATGCCAGAACCAAGGAAGCAATTTCTAAAAGTAAGTGATTGTGTGGATGCAATCCATAAATAACCAAGAATTTTGTGTGTATAACTTTAGGTTTAGAGACAAATCTTTGCAAACTTAACAGAGTAGAGTGAAAGGAAACCAAATGGCCTTTTCTCATTCTGCTCTCCTTTAAAAATCAGGCAAAATTTTACTCACCAACAGAAAAACTGATGGGAAGTTCTGGGAACATACTCAGCTTTTATTCGCTTTTTTAAAAAATTGTAGAGGAGCACAATCATTAAACTATGCAAAACTGATAGTTTTCTTTACAATGGTTTTAGCTAATGGTTCATGTCTTCAGTCGTAGAATAAGGCAAGATCACTAAAGAAGTTTGGATGAAGAAACATTTATAGCGCATTTAATATCCTTCCAGAAGCCTTCCAACTACAAATGCGAGAAAGTGATGGGTTTCCTCGGGAACAAAATCAAGAGGATCCACTCAGATGCCTCTTCCTCTGCACCACTCCTATTTCTTCCCTAGTCTCCACTCACTCTTCCTTCCATACCTTAATTCATTAATCCCCCCCTCCCCCCCAGTCAATTCAATCCTTTGCCACTAAATTGCATCTTAAATTTTAATCTGCCTGAAGTAGCAATACCTTAAGTAAGAAAGAGCACTGAAAAATTACAATGAACCAAAAAAATTTGAAAACAGTTCAAAGCTGAACTGAGTGACAAAACAAACAAGAGTAGACTAGGATTCAGAGTTGAATTTTTTTAGGGGAAAAAGTTCCTACAATAAGCTCATAATGGAAAAATCCCATTAATGGTACCCAAAGACTGCTAAAGATACAGACGCACATCACTCACCTCTAATGTCTGAGTTACATAATTGATTATAATGGGTTTTCTTAGAGCCTCTAATCAAGATTGATAAAAAGGACTTCCATCCTGTCCACATCAACTACTAAGTGATAATTCCTTTCAGTGGAAAATGAAGTAGATAAAATTTCAAAACCATGACTAAGGAAAAACTCAAACTCATTCAAAAAGAACCTAAGGCCTAAGAATTCCTATGTGGCAAATAAAATGGATTTGCAATATTAAGTACAGTAGAACCTCACTAATCCGGTCACTAAAGGGACTGGGCAAAAGTGACCTATTTAGTGAGGTGACCTGATTACTGAAACAGCTCGGGTGATTCAGGTCACTGAGGTAATGCTAAGGGCATTGGTAACGGGCAATGGTGATGAACATTCAACAACCATACGTTGCAATCTCATTAAAATAAAGGCACTGTCATACTTAAAACAAAAGCTGTCATGTATTCAGCCATCCTTTTGAGAATGCAGCCAACTTATGTTCTGCCAATGCCATAGATCACAGCTAACTGTCTGACTTTTGTCCCCACTGTTTTTGATTAAGTCCACTCTCTCACGTAAGGACAACTCCTTCCATGGTGGCATGTTTACAGCACTTACCAAGAATTGGTTACAGGAGCTCAGGTTAGGCCACGGGCACCGGGCGAAGTTGATTTTCCGTTTGCGCCGCTTCCAGAATCCCAACACTCCCTGCGTGGCGCATGCGCAACCAGAGCCCACTGCACCCGCAGTAGCAGAGCTGAGGAAACAGCGCGAGAAGCCCGAGGCCTAGCGCACTGTGTACTGTACAGGTTAGCAGCCGGGGGACTGTGGTGGGTGGGGTTTGTACCGCATTTGAAGCGGAGGAAGGTGCTGTTGTGGCCGCAATCAATGATTGTTGTCCTGATTAATGAGGTGCCCGGTTTACTGAAGCAGAAAGCCTATCTTTTAACAAAAACAGAAGTCGCTGGAAACACTCAGCAGGTCAGACAGCATCTATGGAAAAAGGAAAGTGAGTCAACGTTTCGGGTCCATGACCCTTCGTCAGAACTCAAGTTTTCAGCAGTAATTTACATTTAGTCTATCGTTTAACATTGACAATGAGAGAGACTGTGAAAATGTGCCCGCAATTGTCAGATGGCTGGATTACTGAGGTGACTGCAAACCGGGTTTCTACTCTATATTACCAACACTTTATTTCAGATACGTTAATCATGGGTCTAAACTGTCTGTTTACCTTCTCTCTTTTGATTTTGAGTTTGCTGGATGATTATTAATCACGTTAAATATATTGTTAAGGTTTATCTGCAATTTGGATTAATAATGAATGCGAGGATTATTATTATCTCTATTTTTCTCGTCATAGAATTTTTGTTAACAGCAAAGAAGAAGGCCATTCAAGCTTGTCAAACATCAACGACCTTGTCATGTATACTAAATATTTTAAATCAAATATACTAAGGAGACTATAATAGACAAAAGTACATCTGACATAAGGAAGGAGTTACATGTACTACCCAACTAAGTAAACAAATCACAAATTTAAATTCAACATGTAAAGTGCATAGTTTACATTAAATTGCAGCCAGGTGACTGACATGTGTGGAAACCCATCATCGTGAAGTCCTGTAGCTCAGTGGTTAGAGCACTCGCTTTGCAAGCGAGAGACCTGAGTTCAATCCAGGCAGGGCGAAACCTTGGGCAAGTTTTCTTACTCCACACGCCTAATAATAATCCCTCCAAAAACAAAACAATAATAAATTGGTCATTTTCAATCTACGACTGTTTGTGGGACATTGCTGTGCGCAATTGGCTGCCGCGTTCACCCACAAATATACAGTCAATTCATTTTACAGTGTGTTCTGTGAAGCGCTTTGGGACGTCCTCCCGACGTGAAAAGCGCTATATCAAATGCAAGGATTATTATTATTATTATCGTGCTTAAGGGCTTCCAAATCAGTCAGAGCTCTACATAGCTATCTGGAATAAACTCCACTCTCCCCCTTGAGGAACACACCCAACTTACCTAATAGGCACAGGTTGGTGAGAGCCATGAGTGAGGAACCTCAGAGTACGTGTTGAGGTAATGTTAAGAGTATAATCAACAATATTGTCATTGCTTGTCAAGCTAGGGCATCCAGATTACTTATTAAGGCTATAACTGCCCCTCGAAGTCCTACAGACAAGTTGGCTGGTCTGTCATCAGCAGTGCTTCAGAGTAAGGCGGATCTGCGATTTTGGAAATTGACTATCAAGACTGTCACAGATTTGAGTAGATTTCAACATTCCACTCCCAATCACGTCACTTTGGCGGCATGTCAGCTCAGCAGGAGTCCCATTGCCATTCCCATTGATGGGAAGGGGACTCTTAATAAAATGTGTTGAATTGTTTTACAAAGAAGCAATACCTCAGAAGACATATTGAGAAGGGCGAATTTAGGTTAATCATCGGAAGTTACTACAGTGGAAGGTGCTTAAGGAAGGACACATCAGGGCAGTCCGGTTTAACCGGTTTTCTGAGATAAACTGAAGTTCTCTTACTTCTTCCCTTTCCACCCAGCAGAGTGGCCGCCCCGCCTCCTCCCTTCCATTGCTGCTCCCATTGGATGGGAAGGGGAGCAGTTAGGGGTGTCTCCAAGGTGTCTATCACCTCAAAGCCATCTCCGCTCCCTAAAATCCCAAACCCAGCTGCTTGAGTGCAGGTGGCAGAAAACCAGCCTCATGGTTCACCACCAGCTGTGGCTCGAGCATCTTCACACCTAATGCCGCTCCCTGTCACAAGCAAAAACTGCGCACTACTCAAACATCATATTGGAGGCCAACAATAATTTCAAAATCCTGTTCTCCACTGCCCACCACCTCTTCCTTGCGCCCCCTCAAGCACCCTCAATCATCACATCTAACGCCAAGTGCAAAGAGGTCATGGACTTCCTTAACTCTAAAATTGATAACATCCGCCTGGCAGCAACATCCTTCTGCCCTGTATCGCCTGCCACCACCCCCATTCCATCTCCCCTCACCCACCCCGCCCTCAGCTCCTACCACAGCCCCCATCCTACATTCATTTGCCCCCATCTCTCCTTCCTCCCTCTCATCCACCATCACCCAACCCACCACCTGCTGCCTCAACCCCCTTCACCACCCAACTGCTGATCACCCAGCTACCCCTCCTCTGCCCATTACTGGCAGACACTATCAACCAATCTCTCTCCTCAGGATCAGTCCCACCCCCCTCAAAACCACAGGCATCAACCCCCTCCTTATAAAAACCTACCCTCGATCCCTCCAACCTCGGTCACTACCACCCTATCTCAAACCTGCCCTTCCTTGCCAAAGCTCTGGAATGGGTTGTTGGCAACCAACTTCACGCACACCTCTCCCTCCATACTCCACTCCAACCCCTCCAGTCCGGTTTCCACCCTGTCCACAGTACAGAGACAGCGCTCGTGGAAGTCACAAACGATATCCTCTCTATCTGTGACCAGGGCTTCCTCGTCCTCCTGGATCTCTCCGCCGGATTTGACACAGTCGATCATGCCATCCCCCTCCACCGCTGGTCCTCCATCATCTACCTCAGTGTGACCGCCCTTGGTTAGTTCGAGTCCTACCTTACAAACCACCAGCACTGCATTTCTGCAA